CTCCCCTCGGTGGGGTGTCGCCCTCGCTGGGGTGTCTCCCCTCGGTGGGATGTCTCCCCTCGGTGGGGTGTCGCCCTCGGTGGGGTGTCGCCCTCTGTGGGGTGTCGCCCTCGCTGGGGTGTCGCCCTCGCGGGGGTGTCTCCCCTCGGTGGGGTGTCTCCCCTCGGTGGGGGCACGTCACTCAGCCGAGCCAGTGAGGAAGCAGGGCGGCCAGAAAAGCGCGGGTTGGGGTTGTACCCAGGTCTCTGTTTATGGCCTCAGAGTTCCTCTTTTGCTCCAGCGGCCGAAACCTGACCGTTCAGGCTGTGATCGCAGCCTGGCTCCCGCGCGTCCTTTCTTACTCCAGTCCTGTTCCGATTCTGAGGAGAGCTGTCTGCTTGACCAGCTTTCCACTGGCATCTCGCTTTGCTCCTGGTACCCCCGACCATCCTCTCCAGAGAAGATGGTCTGAGAGCGGGACTGACTTTATTCCAAGCTTGAGATGGTCATACGGCCTTACTGTGTTCAGGGTGGTTGGCTGTCAGTGGAAATGCTGATTATAATATGTCAGAGCCAAACAAGAAAACAGAGCACTTAAGTTCAAAGTCACATATGCAGTGGAATCTCAACTTGAAAATAAATGCAGAGAAGAAAACAAGCGTGAGGAAACAGGCCTCGTCAGAAGTGGCTGCTTCTGCACAGTGGGATTTTAGGTGCTACCTCTGGTGTCTTTGTACAAGGGCACCTCAAAAAGTTCACGGGAAGATTCGTATTATCTTTTAATTCTATTTTTCCATGACCTTCTTGAAGTACCCTTGTATTTTTTCTGTCCTGTCCACATTTTGACATTGGTATACATAATTTCTTAATCAAAGAAAATAAAGAGAAAGGAAAGGTAGTGGTTGCAGTATAGTTCCATTTGAAAAGAAATGAACACAGAGAGGTCACACACTGACAAAGAGAAATTATTGAAGGATTTCACCATGGATTTCAGGGTTTTTCTAAAAGCATGTGGGAATGTGGAATGAAAAATTCCAAAAGAAGGTGGGTCTTTTTCATATCCATGAAAATGGAAGTTGAATAGCTGCAGTCCAAGGGAGGAAATGTTTATTGAATTCCCTCATTTGCCAGGCAATCACCAAGTACCCCTTTTAGCTCTGTGACTGGGATGATGGTGGAGCCTGGAGTGATACTGCAGGTTTGAGTGGTATCAGAGCATCTGTGCTCTGCTCACAGCACCTGAGCAGAGGAGGATGTGTACCTTCTGCCCTCTCAACTTTGTTTTCTAGGGCTGTTAAGGGCTGTTAAAAAAAAGTGGGAAGTTGAATTTTTGATACCTAAGACAGTAGCAATTTTCAAGGGGAATCATAGGACTTGTGCTGGGACTTTGGCTGTGGTTGCCTGCTGTGGGAGGGGAGATGTATGTGTTGTACTCGTGGGTCCCTGTCCTCACTGATGAGTCCTGGGTCAGCTGCCACATGGGCGTGGCCAAGGGGTGGGGAGAAGGCTAGAGAAATGAGAAATTGGACATACTTTAGAGACTGATTTCCAACATGGTGAGTGGTCTGGGGCCCACATAGACATCCTTCATGTGTTTATGTCTCCCATACCTGTGAAATGCCCCTGCTTTTCCTCTTAAAGGTAACACATTCCCCATATTTGAGTTCTGAAGGTTCTTGTATCTTATTAAGGAGTTCATAATCCCGGATCAGCTTTTTTTCAGGTTTACTGGATTAATGATCTTGAGCACTGTCCTTTTATCTCCAGTATGATCAACTAACTATTGTGGGGGCTAAGTTTTGTACCTAATATTTCTACCTTCTTGACATATCTTCCCCCCTCACACACACAGAATATCTATGGTATGTCAAGGGCAGAGATCCTGTCTGCCTTGTGACCATGAAGGAGACGGACCGGGAGGCTGTTGCAACAGCGGTCCAGAGGGTTGCTGGCATGCTTCAGCGCCCAGACCAGCTGGATAAAGTGGAGCAGTACCGCAGAAGAGAGGCTCGGAAAAAAGCCTCCGTGGAGGCCAGATTGAAGGTATGAGACCAGAGCCATCGTGGTCACCTGCTTCCCTCCCAGGCAAGATAGAGCCGTTTATCCTGAGTTTCAGGTACCGTTTGACATCGTCATGATGATTTTGCTGAATTAGACTTAGTGATGGTATGGGAAGAGTCAGAACAGTAGATTTACAAAAAAGACTGTGGGAATATTGAAATCTGCAAAGGAAGACCTTTTTAAGCACACTGGAAGTGTCCATTTCATGTTTTAAACAATATTAGAAGAATAACAAATACGCTTATTTATTCAAAGCTCTGTACCAAGCACCACTAGAGAGCATTTTGTTTTGGTCATTTCAGTGCCCGTTGTGGGCCGACCATGTGCTAGGCATTGTGGTGGCCCGGTTGTAGGAAGGAGGAGGACACATTTATGAAGAGTATGTGAGAGTATGCCAGGGAAGAAAATCATTCTTTTTAAATGTATTTTATGATTCGGATTGGCTTTCAACTTACTGCTATGAAGACGTGAGGTTTTATTAAAATGTGTGTTGCTTTGCCTCCCATGGATTAGTTACCCCTTTACCCTGGGTGACGGAGCCACCAAAGGGTTAGGGTTAGGGTTAGATTACTCAAAGCCCATCTCTTCTGAGCAGTGAGAAGCCCCAAAAAGGGGTTAATCTCCCAGAACCCTCAAGAGCGAGGCATTCCTTCCATTTGGGAAATTAACCATGAATTGGGGTTCTCTTCCTGCATTTATTCTCCAGACCAGGAAGTTTCAGGAAGAGAATATAGATGGGGTTTTTGCTAAGTATATTTTAACAAGTTTAACAATAGGCATTCCATAACGCAATTTTCGAGAAGTTAAGTTGATCCACCAACAAAAGCTTGATCTTAGAAAACATTCTCTTCTGGGGCCGGCCCGGTGGCGCACTGCTACAGTGCGCCGCTTGGGAGTGTGGCGGCGTTCCCGCCGAGGGTTCGGATCCCACATGCAGACTGGTTCCCGCTCACTGGCTGGGCGAGGTGTGGGAGCGACGCAGAGGGTTGCGATCCCGTTGCCGGTCCTGGTCCGGTGCGGGCACGACACTGAGGGTTGCGATCCGTTGCCGGACATGAAAAAAGACAAAAAGGAAAAAAAAAAAAAGAAAACATTCTCTTCTTACAGCAACTTCCCAGTAACTTTACATATCAATCAGTAACCTGTCTGTCTTTGAGCCAGCAACCTTGCTGTGTTTACAATTTTTTGTCTTACTTATAGCCTGGGGAAAATTTCCTGTTCTTGCAAGGTCAATGTTTGAAACTGCAAGGCTTTGGAAAACCAGGCCCTGTGAAGTACATTTGCTTTATGCATACTCCACAAACATGCATATTCAGTAGCATTATAAAATGTTAAAACCATGACCTGCTATAGCTGACATGTAATAGAATGGTTTTGGGGATTTAAGAGAAGGCCTTTGAGCAAAATTTATTCTCACACTGCCAGGGCAATGAATTAATCTTTCAAAACAGTTTTAGCACCCAGGTATAGCTGCCCAGGTAGGTGAAACAGACAAGGAGTACTCAGTTTTATCAGTGAAGCATCCGAAGACTCCGTTGGACTAATTTGAGACCACAGTTTCATATTAATGTAAAAAATAGTTTCGACCTAGTACATCTTTTTTTTTTTTTTTTTAAAAAAGATGACCGGTAAGGGGATCTTAACCCTTGACTTGGTGTTGTCAGCACTACGCTCAGCCAGTGAGCGAACCAGCCATCCCTATGTGGGATCCGAACCCGGGGCCTTGGTGTTATCAGCACCGCACTCTCCCGAGTGAGCCACGGGCTGGCCCGACCTAGTACATCTTTAGCCTGAACTTTTATGCATTCCAGAACTTGTGGATTAATTAGAGATTATCAGTAGTGACTTAGAAACCTTGAGTGGTCTGTTGCAATCATAGTTAAATATTTCTAAACACAATTTAGTCTCCCATGCATTCCAGAACTTGTGGATTAATTAGAGATTATCAGTAGTGACTTAGAAACCTTGAGTGTTCTGTTGCAATCATAGTTAAATATTTCTAAACACAATTTAGTCTCCTGGGTGAAAGTTGTTCCTGCCATCAGTTGTGTTGCCTGGTCTTATCGTCTCTTTCCCATCCACCTACTGCTATTCCTACATTCCCTCTGGCTGCACATCTCACTGGATGGCCCTAGGAGTGAACCTGAATCTCATATGTGCCAGTTCAGTGCACTGGAGTCAGCCGTCCTGAGCCGGGTCTGGTTCTGGCTGAACAGAGGAGCCCCCCCACCTCCTGAGCTGATGAAGAAGTTCTGACATTTTCTCTACTTAGATAAGACCTGTTGAGAAACTCGCCCAGGAAGAACGTGGTGGCATCCTTCTAAGGATACCACTCAAGGTGGCTGCAGGCCTGAGGCACACCTGTGGTGATGTCCATATCACCAGCCCACCAGGCTGGATGAGGAACATTGTGAAGTTTTTGCGTCAGAGCTTTAAGATGCATCACTAGTCTCTTCCGAGGCAGCAATGAAAAAAGAGTTCTCTTGTCAATCAGTTAAATCCTTGTTCATCTTATTCTCTTTTTCTGGGTATTGACTATTTCCTGCTACTCAAATGGCTCTTTTCTGAACCTGATCCTCCTGGGAAGATTTGCTCATCAGGAAGCAGCGTGTGGCTGTCACTGGCTCTGCTAATCCACACGATGTCTCCCTTCAGGCCGCAATCCAGTCGCAGTTGGATGGGGTGCGCACGGGCCTGAGCCAGCTCCACAATGCGCTGAATGATGTCAAAGACATCCAGCAGTCGCTGGCCGACGTCAGCAAAGACTGGCGTCAGAGCATCAACACCATCGAGAGCCTCAAGGACGTGAAGGACGCAGTGGTGCAGCACAGCCAGCTGGCCGCCGCCGTGGAGAACCTCAAGAACATCTTCTCAGGTAACCGCGACGGTGCCTCCTGGCACACGTCCCCATAGTCCATACTGTGCTCCACTGTCCTGTCTTAGAGTGGACAGCAAGTTTGGTCGCTGCCTGCTCAGTGAGCTGCTTTTTTTGAATAAGGATAAAATGATCAGTTGACAGGTGAGGCTGGTGGAATGTTTGCTGTTTCGTGTCAGGGGGGAGGCAAGGGAGTGGATAAGCCATGCGGGCTCTGTGTGGAAGGAGCCCCTGGCGAGCCCCGTGCCCTCGGCTGCAGTGTGGCTGTTAGTTCATGGCTGGGACTCTGCCAAGTCCAGCCTAGTGAAGGAGCTGCAGGGTGTGGGGGTGGGGGAGGGATGAGTGTGTCCGCGGGCATGGTGGTACTCAGCAGTGTCAGTGTCAGTTGTGATTGGAGCAGATGCGGTGGAGGTGTGGCAGGGGACAAGAGTGGAGGGGCAGGAGGTTGAGGGAGCAACCCTTTCCGAGTCTTTTCCCGAATACCGCGGGTAGTGGCTGCAGAGTGCTGGACAGTCTGTGCTTGGGCAGCAGCTCCCAGAGTTGCTGTTCACACCGCCTTCTTATACTCACTGTGACAGGAGCGCCTGGTCTTCCGCCTCCAGATCCCATCCCTCCCCTCGGTCCCTTCTCTCTGTGAGGGTCACCAGCATCCTTCAGGCTCCCCAAGAAGAAGCCTTGGCATGGTCTGACCTCTTTCCTTTTTTATCCTTGTCTCTGGTCTCTTGACCAGTCCTTTCTGTCCCTCCCCTCTGCACTGATGTCCTTATCACACACATCTCACATCTGTAGCAATCCCATGCCCTCCACTCTTGGACTCTGAAGTATCAGAGCTGCCATCTGCAACACGAAGGCCAAACGTTGATGCTCTGCTCCTGAGGTCAGTGGTGTGGTGCAGTTCTTCCCATCGCCCGTGGCATGGGGGCCTTGCTCCTGCCCATGACACACCTGGGTAACCTGTGTCCTGTCCAGCCCTTACTCCTCTAGACACCTCTTTTGCCTGTGGGCACAGCATGTGGAGTACCTGTGCCACTGCTCCGTACATGCCTGTCTTCTGTGGGTAGGATATGTAGGGCTACGTGGGGGGCCACAGTCCATGTCGCTTCCTGCATCCCCCACAAGTGGCACAGCACTGCTGAGTCCGTAGCGGTGCTCAGGAAGCAGGTAGGTGTTGACTGCCTGGAACTGGACAAAGTCCCCAGGCCTGAATCTCCTTCTCAACTTTCAGCCAGCACCTTCTAGTTAATTTCCCTTCTCTTACAATTTCCTGTTGACTGGATACATTTCATTCCAGTCTTATAAAACTAATGCCTAAGGACCAAAAAAGTTACATTACTGGAATGAGTTCATCCACAGCAGTTGAAAATAATTTTCTTCCCTCTATGTACAACTGAGCCTACATTGTATGTGTATTTTTTGTTAGGGGTAAATTTTCATCAGGACGATGTGGTTGTTTGGTTCCATCCAGACTTTTCTTGTTGCCTGTAATTCAATAATGCTGAGCAAACAGCTCCGTCCCCCCATTTTTTTAGTATGATAAAATGCACGTGACAGAATTTTCCATCTTAACAATTTTTAAGTGTATGGTCAGTGGTATTAAGTATATTCATGTTGTGGTGCAACCATTGCCACCATCCAACTTCAGAACTCTTCCCATCTTGAAAAAATGAAAATCTATACCCATTAAACAATAACTCAGCATTTACCCCCGCCCTCCCCTGTCCCCTGACAACTACCATTCCACAAGTGTACTTGTTCATAGAAAGATTTGTATTATCTTTCCATTTTATTTTTCCATGAACTTTTTCAAGTGCACTCATGTTTCTGTCTCTGAATTTGACTACTCCGGGACCTCATACAAATGGAATTATAGAGTATTGTCTCTGCATCTGGCTTGTAGCGAAATGTCTTCAAGGTTCATGTATGTTGCAGCATGTGTCAGAATTTCCTTCCTTTCTAAGGCTAAATAACATTCCATCTTAGGTCTATACCACATTTTACATATCCATTCATATGTCACTGGACAGACACATGGGTTGCTTCTAGATTTTTGCTATTATGAATAATGCTTCTGTGAACATGGGTGTGTAGATATCATGCTTTCGGTTCTTTTGGGTGTGTACCCAGAAGTGGAATTGCTGGATTATGTGTTCATTCTATTTTTAGTTTTTTGAGGAACTGCCACACTGTTTTTCACAGTGGGGGCACCATTTTACATTCCCACCAGTAGTGCACAGGGGTTCCACGTTGTCCACATCCTTGCCAACACTTGTGATTTTCTGTTTTTTAGATAGTAGCCATCCTACTAGGTGTGAGATGGTATCTTGTAACTTTGACTCACATTTCTGTAATGATTGCTGATGTTGAGCATCTTATCATGTGCTTATTGGCCATCTGTTTATCTTCTTTAGAGAAATATCCAAGTCCTTTGCCCATTTTTTAATCAGGTTGTTATTTTGTTTTTGACTTTAGGTATTCTCTATATATCCTGGATATTACTCCTTTATCAGATGTATGATTTGCAAATATTTTTCCCACTCTGTGGGTTGTGCTTTTACTCTTTGGATAGTGTCTTTTGATGCACACAAGTTTTTAATTTTCATGAACTCCAATTTATCTGTTTTTTCTTTTGTTGCCTGTGTCTTTGCTGTCCTATCCAAGAAATCATTGGCAAATCCAGTGTCATGAAGCTTTTGCCCTATGTTTTCTTCTATGTGTTTTATACTTTTAACTCTTTTATTTAGGTTTTTTGATGCATTTTAAGTTAGTTTTTGTATATGATGTTAGGTAGAAGGTTCAATCTAGCAACAAGATATAACATTTATAAATATTTTTGTACTTACTAACAATTTTATTTTTAGTGAAGTATTTTAATTCCTTCCTTATTTCTTTTGTGTACATTCTATAGCTATTTTCTTTGTGGTTGCCATTGAGATTTAATTTAACATCCTAACATTATATCACTCCATTTTGAATTTATAACACACAAAAGCACTATCCCTATACAACTCTGTCCCGACCCCCTTTCAGTTGTTGATGTCACAACTTACATCTTTGTACATTGTGTGTTCAAAAATATAGACTAATAATTGTTTCTTTAATGCATTAGTTTCTTAAATTATATAGAAGACAAAATGTGGAGTTAGAATCCAGTTGTAGTACTGGCTTTTAGACTTTTGTTTAATGTATTAGTCTCTTAAATCATGTAGAGAACAAAAAGTTGAGTTAAAAACCAAAGTTACAGTAATCTTAGATTTTATAATTGCCAGTGTATTTACCTGTACTGAGATCTTTATTTCTTCATATAGCTTTGAGTTATTGTCTAGCTTCCTTTTATTTCACGCTGCAAGACTCCCTTGAGCATTTCTTGTAGGGTAGGTCTAGCGGTAACAAACTCCTTCAGCTTTTGTTTATCTAGGAATGTCTTAATATGTCTCTTACTTTTGAGTGACAGTTTTGCTGAATATAAGATTCTTGGTTGGCAGTGTTTTTCTTTTAGCAATTTGAATACATCTGTCTTCTGCCTGCCAAAGTTTCTTATGAGAAATCTGGTAATAATCTTAATGAGGATCCTTGTATGCAACAAGTCATTTCTCTCTTGCTGTTTTCAAAAGTCTCTCTTGGTCTTTGTCTTTCAGCAGTTCAATTATATTGGGTCTTGGTTTGTGTCTTTTTGAGTTTTTCCTGCTTGGAGGTCATTGAACTTCATCCGTGTCTTTCAACAAAGTTGGAAACTTTTTAGCCATTATTTCTTCAGCTAATCAACCTCTTTGTCCATTTCTCTTCTCTTTCTGGAACTCCCACTTTGTGTATGTTGGTCTGCTAGATGGTGTCCGCAAGATCCCTTGGGTTTTGTTCACTTTCAGTTTTTTTTTTTTTTCTTTCTGTTCCTCATGTTTGATAATTCCCATTGTCCTATCATCACATTCGCCAATTCTTTCTTAGGCCTGCTCAAATCTGCCTTTGAATTCCTCTAGTGATTTTTTTCATTTCAGTTATTGTACTTGTCAGCTCCAGATTTTCTTTTTGGTTTCTTTTTATGTTTTCTATCTCTTTATTGATATTTTCATTTTGTTCATACATCCATCAATTTCTTTAACTTGTCCATATCTTCTTTTAGTTCTTTGAGTATCTTTAAACAGTTGTTTTAAAGTCTTTATCTAGTAGATCTGTCATCAGGTCTTTTTCAAGGACAGTTTTCTGTTTGCTTTGGCAGGAACACAGCTGCCTGCCAAGGGGCTAGGGGTGTGGGATGGGTAGCTGCTGTTATGCTATGAGTTAAAATTGACCAAAATTAGCTGCAGTTTACCATCCACACCTTCCCCTAGAAGTTGCAAGTCTTCAGTAGACTCCAGAGTTCCAAAATAGTTACACCAGGCAGATTCTGCTAGTGCAGTTGCTATCTAGGTGGGGAGATGGATTCCTGGTGTTCCAGCTCTGCTATCTTCCTAGAATCCTGCACACAGTCTTTTATGGTTTTTTTTAAATGGTGCCACAATTAATCTAGGTTGATAAGTACTCTTTTTCCCTAGTGCCCGAGATTGTGAGGGAGACCCAGGACCTAATTGAACAAGGGGCGCTCCTGCAAGCCCACCGGAAGCTGATGGATCTGGAGTGCTCCCGGGACGGGCTGATGTATGAGCAGTACCGCATGGACAGTGGGAACACACGTGACATGACCCTCATCCACGGCTACTTTGGCAGCACACAGGGGCTCTCTGACGAGCTGGCCAAGCAGCTGTGGATGGTGCTGCAGAGGTCACTGGTCACCGTCCGCCGTGACCCCACCTTGCTGGTCTCAGTTGTCAGGATAATAGAAAGGGAAGAAAAAATTGACAGGCGTATTCTTGACCGAAAAAAGCAAACTGGCTTTGTTCCTCCTGGGAGGCCCAAAAGTTGGAAAGAGAAAATGTTTGCCATCTTGGAGAGGACCGTGACCACTAGAATCGAGGGCACACAGGCAGACACCAGGGAGTCTGACAAGATGTGGCTCGTCCGCCACCTAGAAATTATAAGGAAGTACGTCCTAGATGATCTCATCATTGCCAAAAACCTGATGGTGCAGTGTTTTCCTCCCCATTATGAGATCTTCAAAAACCTCCTGAACATGTACCACCAAGCCTTGAGCACGCGGATGCAGGAGCTCGCATCGGAAGACTTGGAAGCCAATGAGATTGTGAGCCTCCTTACGTGGGTCCTGAACACCTACACAAGGTAGAGCCAGCTTTGTGCCTTATGTTTCTTTTACATGGGAATCTGTGTTTCTACATAAAATATGTGCCAGCAGTGGCCCAATGGTCTTGCTGTGGGCAGGTGCTTGTGTGCATGGGCATTGTTTTCAGGCTTATGAAGGTCTCCTGGTCCACCTGTTGGGGACATGTTTGTGAGGCCAGGTAGAGCCAGCTTTGTGCCTTATGTTTCTTTTACATGGGAATCTGTGTTTCTACATAAAATACGTGCCAGCAGTGGCCCAATGGTCTTGCTGTGGGCAGGTGCTTGTGTGCATGGGCATTGTTTTCAGGCTTATGAAGGTCTCCTGGTCCACTTGTTGGGGACATGTTTGTGAGGCCAGGGGCCCCACCTCTGGTGGTTTCTCCACCTTTGATGTCCCATCGTGGTTAACATTGCAGTGAGAGGTTCAGCGTGGGGCTTGTTTTCTGTGCTACTGTGGGCTGGCTGACTTCCTTAGTGGACCACGAGGCAGGTGTGTGCTACCCCATTTTACAGGTGAGGACGTGTCCCAGGACATGCCATGACCTGTATAGAGTCATCCATCTGGTAAGGAGACCACCAACATTGTCCTCCCAGCTTCTAGTGACAGTGTGTTTGGTTTCTCATAACCAGGACATGGTAGCAGTTAATCTTTCAAAATTAAACAGTTGCAAGTATATGCAGTTTCAGGAAAGTCAGTGACCCTTTTGCGTTTTAGTGTGGGGATTTTTCACTTCATGTGAGGAACCTGAGCCACTTCTGCACAGATTAGCTTGAGGTAGCATTTGAAAAACAAGGCAGTTATTCTGAAATGCCTAAGAGTTGGTAGCTGAAATGATAGTTTATTTTAATTTTGCGTGGTTTCATGGACAGAAAACGATTCTAAGTGATGTGTTGGAATTTTTTCCCCCCTATCTTGTCACTGCTGTGGAGAAATTAATCTCTTTTTTAGCAGTGATGTTTGTTATTTTTTGTTCGTATTTTGGGGTTTTTTTTTTGTTTACTGGTAACTGTTTAATGGTAGAGAATTTCTACACTTCAGTACAGAAAGATATAAAGAGAAAAAAGTGTCACCCATCGAGGATGATTGCTGTGGCTGGCCCTAACAGCTTCCTTCCCTGTGCATGGCCCCCGCCTCCGTGCCTCCTGTGTCCCCTCCCCTGCTTCTCATGCGGCTTATGAGCTGGGCACTGTGATCGTCCTCTTCTGGAGCCTCCACTGCAGGCCTTGACCTTGTGCCTTAATATGTTAACAGCCCCCTGAGGCATGAGGAAACTGAGGCACAGGGGGAGTAAGTGATGTGCCCACGTTCACATGGCAAGCGAGTGAGAAGCAGGATTCCAGTCCAGCCCCGGGCCCTCTCCTGAGCTCTTGCTCCCAGGCTGCGGAGCAGGCATGGGTGTAAGCTGCAGCTTCATGCCTTGGTCATGTTTCTTGCACACCACAGTGTGAGCATTTTCCTGTCCCTGGGCGTTCTCTGATAGCTTGCTGTCAGTCCCCTGTGCTTCTTCTTACCGGACTTTCTCAGGGAAGCTGAGCTGCTTTCACACTGGCAGTGTTTACACGCTGAATTGAGGTCCTTGGGGCAAAATTAATCTAGGTTGAATAAGTACTTTTTTGATACTTGCAGAAATTTATGAAGCACTTTTTCACTCAGGAAGCCCTTGAATTTCTTAAAGAGAGTGGATAAGCTATTAATATTATTCAGTGTTATTCTAAATACATATTAGGGATGTAGCATGAGACATGAGTTTTCTGAACATTCAAACCTTAGACTTTTCAGAACTAAGCCACATACACAAATGTTAGCTGCTTCCAATGAAAACTTCTTTTCTGAAACTTAACATGTGCCCTGACTTCTGCACGGTGGAATGGGCAGGTTGAGCTTGGGCTCGCCGGCGTGTTTTCTTTGGGTTATGCTGTTGCACTCTCTTTGTCACCTCTCTTCCCCTGGGTGATGGAGATGCAAAGGATTACTCAAAGCCCATTTCTTCTGAGCAGTGAGAAACCCCGAAGGGGTTAATTTCCAGGAACCCTCAAGAGAGAGGCATTCGTCCTCAGAAAGTTAACAACGGACTGGGCTTCTGTCTCAGTATTTATTCTCAAGGCCAGAAAGTTACAGAAAAGGAACATAGGTGGAGTTATGGCTAAGTACAGTTTAACAATAGAGGCTGGTAACATCAGGGAAATAACACAGTGACATTCCATAATGTAATTTGCAAAAGGTTAAGTTGATCCACCAACAAAAGCTTGTTCTTAGTAAATACTGTCTTTTCCTACAGCAGTTTCTTTGGTATGCTTACATAACAATAAAGCAACTTTCTTAATGTATCAATCAGTAGGTAAACCTGCTCCAGGGACATCTGTCCTTGAGCCAGCAATTTTGCTGTGTTACAATTCTTTATCTACGACAGAGACTTTAGCCTGGGGAAAGTTTCCTGTCTTTTGAAAGCTTAACATTTCTATACGTAATTCGAAAAGTTAGGTTATATCTGAAACTACAGGGCTTTGGAAACTAGGCCCTGTGAAATACATTTGCTTTATAAATGTTAGTATACTCCATATTATGCTGTGCGCGCTGTGCTCTGGTCCTATCCTCGTGCGGAGGTCACCGGCGGTGACTTCAGTGGCTGTGTTTCCAGTTGCATGCTTTCTCGCCACCTTCTTATTTAACGAAAGTTGTTCATCCAGCCCCTCCTGTGTACCAGTCCCTGGTCTTGGCTCAGGAGGTGCAGTGAACAGAAGACAGATGTCGTCCTCCTGGGCTCCTCCTGCATCAGAGCCCCAGCTCCAGTGAAGCCGGTTCAGTGGGCGGAGCCAGGCTGCAGTGACTGACAAGGCTGCTTAGCCTGCAAGGGGGCATCACAGGGGACCCTAAGTCCCTGGCTGCCTCACCTGGCATCCCCCACAAAGCCCCTCTGCCTTTTCCTGAGTTGTGTGATAGTGGGACAGTCCTTAGACATGCTTGAGGAAACATGTCCTGCATCCCTATGACTTGTCACCTGCTCCTGGTCTCTCTGCAGCATGGAGATGATGGGGAACGTGGAGCTGGCACCAGAAGTGGACGTCAGTACCCTGGAGCCTTTGCTTTCTCCACACGTGGTCTCTGAGCTGCTTGACACATACATGTCAACACTCACTGTGAGTAGAGGTTGCCTGCAGAGCTGGGACCACAGCATTGGTGGTCTGCATAAACTGGGCTTTGACACTTACTTCCTAGGGGCACGTTGCTTGGCTGCCCTGGCTCTGTTTCTAGGTCTTGAATGGCTGCCCTCGGCCCTGGATCTGGAGCTTGTCTGGGGTGTCCATTCCACAGACCCAGGACCCTCATCTGCCGGGGTGTCCAGACACGTGGGGTCATGCCTGCCAGGCTAATAGCTCTGAGTCCCCATGGCAGGGTGACAGTTAGGGGACCACGGGGTGAGTCTGACTGCAGCCTAATGACCACCAGGTGGTCTCAGAGTAAGATCAGTTGGTCAGGGTTTGCTTCCAGGAGAGAGTGTTTCTAAGCAACAAGACCACGTTCTGACCAGAGTGCTGTGGTGTCCCTGGGAAACGGTTGGGGGGCTATTGTATTTGGTTTCAGGTGAACTGGGTCTGGCCAGAGGCCTGCCAGCCTTGTACTCTGCCCTTGGGATGAATGTGGCCTTGTCCTCCGGCATGAAGGCCATCCAAAAGACATTCATGCATTCTTCTCCTTTATCTGGTTAAAGTCCACAGGCTGGTGTGGGCACTGCCACCATGGAGATGGCTCACGAGGTCCCCACTCTGGCACCGTCTGTGTTTGGGAGCAGGGGTTACTGTGACACGCTGTGTCTGTCTGTGCAGCTGCACGCCGCTGCAGAGCAACCGCATGGTGTAATTCAGAAGTGCCTGTTCTTCCTTCTTTTCTCCATGATGCTCAACTTCCTTTAGTCAAACATCATTGCCTGGCTGCGGAAAGCACTAGAAACAGATAGGAAAGACTGGGTCAAAGAGACCGAGCCCGAAGCAGACCAAGACGGGTACTACCAGACAACGCTGCCTGCCATCGTCTTCCAGGTACCTCCTGCCGGGGTTTTCCATGGCTCCACTTCCTGGGTGGCCCATAGGAACTGCAGGTTTTACAAACCCAATACCCTTGATCTTCATTTATAGAGTGTAGTAAAGATGTCTGGAACCCTGCCTGGTGCCTCTAAGCCCTGTTCTCTTCTCTGTCTCATTCTCTGGAGCCGAAGAAACAAACCCAGGGTTGTACTTATCAAGTAGTTTTGCCCAAGGTCACTTTAGTTTTCCTAGTCTTTTGGGGTTTGAACCAGGACCTAATTATATGTAATTTATGTGTGACTTTCAAATTTGAGTTTGCTTGTTCAACGTTTCTTACTGTTGTTAATGGCAATATTTGTCTTAAAAAATGTTACGTAATTGAGTGATCTGGTGAATTTTGGGGAGAATCCTTTATCATTTTAAAGTTACTTTCCTGTATGACAGTCACAGTACTAGGTGTTAGATCAACGTGTGTTCTTACAGTTAGTTTATTTTTTAGTGCCTGGCCTCCTACTTGTGTCCTCCCGTTTCCTTTCTCTCCTTTTCTGTAGGAATACTGAGTAGTGTTAGAATATTCACTTGGGACCCTGTCTGCTGAAAGGTGTCTGGACTGTAGCCAGGCAGAAGTGAGGGCTGGCGGGTGGTTTCCCTCTGGATTATCCCGCCACAGATTGGTGTCCTGTCCCCTTCTCAGCTCTACCCAGGGCCTGGCCCCTTCTCCCCAGCCTCCTGATTCTTAATAAATCTTTATCACAAAATACTTAAGGGTGAGTGGATTACTTTCAGGAGAAGCTGGAAGCTCAGAATGCAGAGTCCCAGCTATGACCCCAGGCATGACCCCCAGCACCCTGACCTCTGCCCTGCCATGCCTCACGTCAGCACATGAAAACTCCAGTAATGCAGGGTGAGAATAGACATTTCTCCCTTGTTAGAAACCAACTCGTAGGTAATTAGGAAATGATTTGTTTGGTTTTTTACCTGATTTGAAAGTTATTTATTTTTTTAACTAACTTTGTTATTTTTTAAGTGGTTTCTTTTTTTCCCTCTGAATTTGGACTATCCTAACTACCAATTAGCAGATGGGGGTTTTATATAATGGGAAACCTGCACTCTAAGTATACTTTTGTGCAATTATATAAGAGTTCATAAGTTCTCCAATTTTTAGATGTTTGAACAGAATCTTCAAGTTGCTGCTCAGATAAGTGAAGATTTGAAAACAAAGGTACTAGTTTTGTGTCTTCAGCAAATGAATTCTTTCCTAAGTAGGTACGTATTTTTGCCAGTGTGATAACTTCGAAATTATGTTTTTAAAAATTAAAAGCAAAAATTTGTTGATCCTAATATGCCTGTTATTAAAAAAACCTTAAACTTGGAGATTCCCCATCTGTCACCTCCCCTTGTTATTTGGAAACTCAAAAAGGTGAAGTAGATTCCTACAATCTTCCTTTTGAATGGATGGTGCCATTCCATCTGGTGTCCCAGGACTGATGCCTTTTCTGTCACCTGAACTTTATGGAGGGCGGGGGATAGCCACGCTAGGGGCAGTGGTCACTGCCCACTGTGGGGGGCGGGCAGTGTTCCCTCGACAGTGGGCTCTGTCCCAGCATGCCACCTTCCCTCTGAAGTGTTATGATGAATATTTTCAGATCTGTGCAGAAGTAGAAAGAGCAGCATGAGAAACTGAGTTCACCCGTCGTGCAGGTTCAAAATCTGTCCTTCATAGCCAGCCTGACCTAGTCTGCTGCCTGCCCCCCTGCCTGTCCTCTCTTGGCTGAAGTACCTTAAAGCAGAGCTCAGACACTGACATTTCAGCTTTATATTCTCTACTGCAACTACAGTGCCATCAAGTCGCATAAAAAGTTAATCTGACACCAAGTTTGTATTTGGGTTTCCCAGTTGTGTCAAACATATCATCTTGCAGTTACGTATCAGGTTGGACTTGCAGGTCTGCAGCACACGTGGCTATTAGGGCTCCCGAGTCTATGGTGCAGTCAAGCAGCCCCTCCCCTCTTTAAGCCACTGGCTTGTGGGAGAGATGGGTAGTCATTGTCCTGTAGTGTACAGAATCCTGATGGTGTTCCTCAGCCTGGTCCTCAAACTGTCATCTGCCCGCGAACCAGAAGTCGACTCTAAGGCACGCTGGGATCCCTGTTTATTTCCTGGCCTGTGGGCCCTCCATGTTGCAGTGTCAGTGGACGTGGTGTCCGTCTGTCCTGCTCTGGTGGCTCAGGTACTGACAGCCCCTCACTCAGGATCCCATCTGCCATCCATTCAGATGTTAGTCATTTTTTTAGAAGTCAGTGTCATTTATGAAGTGGAATCATCTATAAAGAGGAACGTTCCCTGATCAACTTCAGCTGTTTAATTACCTGAACCACACTTTGGGCAGAAAGGCAGAATAAATGCTTAATTCTCTCCCTTTATTGGCTGATTTTCAGTTAACCTTTCTCAACATCTCCTACAAGCACATCCAGCGCGTTGGTTTTACTGTTCTTCTGCTCCCCTGTATGTTTGGTAATCTCCACAGTAACTTAAAAAATGTGTGCACCCTTCAGTTGTTTGTTTTTTTGACATTTGTAGAGTCTGTTTTTAATTTGATTTCTTCAGGCAGAGTTTCAGGAGGGCATTTTGCCTGACATTCAATGAAGTTCCTAGCACTATCACATGAGATGAGATAAGATAATGCTTTCCTAGTTACTCACAGTCAACTATTTCAGAATATTTTTATAATCAGAATATTGAACCACATTTCAAAGCCTGATATGAAATGATCAACTTGTCTGTTCTTCCATTAATAGTATGGATCATCCAAACATTTATGTTATTTTTAAAGACTCATCTGGTCCATTGTTACTGATGTGAAATTTCTGTATTAGGTGTAATGTCAGCATGGCATTTGAAACAGCTCTAGGTTATCCTTTAAGAATATTTTTGATGTCGGTTTGCATCTCATAGATACAAAGATGAAGTTCAGTTGTATAAAGAAGATCACCTGCGTAATCGGCAGCACCCGCACTGCTATGTTCAGTACATGATCGCAGTCATCAACAACTGCCAGACCTTTAAGTAAGTGATCATCACAGAAGTGGTGGCCGAGGAACAAGAGAGAAGGTGCAGGAATACTCAGCTGCTTGTTGAACCTGAGATGTTTCCTTGCAGAGAATCCATAGTCAGTTTAAAAAGGAAGTATTTAAGAAATGGAGTGGAGGAGGGTGCGTCTCTGAGCCAACCAAACATGGATGGGATTTTGGACGCCATTGCGAAGGAGGGTTGTGGCAGCCTGCTGGAGGAGGTCTTCATGGACCTGGAGGTGGGTTCTGGCTGAAACACAAGTGATTCCATGCTGCGCTTGAGGACACACACCGCGGGCTATGTACTTGCTCTCTGTGATACTCATGCACAATACAGTAGAGACTCCCCATGAATATCTGAGACATCGAACTACTTAATGGGTCACAAAATAGATCAAGTGTGTAGAAACCTGTCACAGAACCCAGTTGAGAGCACAGCCCCACACACCACAGCACACAGACCCATCTCACTTTTGAATAAAAAAGCAAAACACATACATGCAAATCATTGACAAAATGAATTTAGCGTCATATCAGAGGTATGACATACCATGACCAAGTAGGGTTTATTTCAGAAGTACAGAGATGGTTTAGCCCTATTTAGATCTATTGGCAGAAATCAGTATATATTTAAAAATAAAGCCATAGTCATCTTATGGGTCTTGCTGGGAAGGGAGCTCCGTGGTGGTCGGTGGAGAACCCTGTGGTTTCTGTCTTTGTGCTGCAGTGCATCAGAGCGTGGACATACATGTGGAAGTGCTCCAGGGTAAAAAGGCTTGACACTTTTAGCTTTCTTGAAAATGGTTTAGGAAAAAAAGGAATTGTTTGCATTTGACATTATCTCAAAATTTTAGAAAAGACAATATAATGAATAGACAAAAGATGTGAATGACCACTTCACAGAAAAAGATCAGTGTCCTGAACATGAAACAAATGTCCAGTCTTACTGATCATCAGAGAGGTGCAAAATGTGAAAAACTTTTAAAGGTCTATCCATCAGTAAAGAATGGGGTAAATAAATTAGAGTATTCATATGGTACATATATGTAGCCATTAGTAGTGAAATTATGTGCATGCATGGACATTTACATACTTAACATGTCATTTTGTGAAGATCATTATGGAAGTTGTATGTGGTGTAAATCTCCTGTATTTAAAGTACACATTTGCAGATGATATAATAGTAGAATTCTTACATGAGTATGTGTTGCCATCGTAATTAGAAGATCAGTAAGTCACAGCAAAGACAGGCCGGAAGCACCACCCTCCCCAAAGCGCACGACTCGTGGACGTTGTTCCTGGCAGTGATCCCTGCAATTGGTTTGTGCTTTTCAGCAACATCTGAATGAATTAATGACAAAGAAGTGGCTGTTAGGATCAAACGCTGTGGACATCATCTGCGTCACCGTGGAAGACTATTTCAACGATTTTGCCAAGATTAAAAAGCCCTATAAAAAGGTAAGAACGTGGAACCTAGTCAGTTGTCCACCTTCGTGCTGGAGCCTACCTTGTGTCATGTGTGGCATTCAGATCCTGTTGGTTCTTCTGAGTGGGGGTTGACCAGTTGTTCTGGTAACCCAAGCGAGGCAAGAGTCATTACACTGTGCCAAAGATCAGGTGGAGGTGGTGGGCTTCTGAGTGAAGATTGAGAACGTTCATCAACTTTACTCCCTCCTGAGACCCCTGTGGGTGGGGAGACATCAGCAGTGCCAGGGACCCCTAGAAGGCAGAGTGGGGAATGGGGGGCTGTGAGGACTGGTGAGAAACATTAGTTCCCTCATATCCCTGCCCTGTGCACAGGGTGGGCTGCAGCCTTTCTCCGTCCCCGCGGGGGCCCCAGGGCTCTTAGAGGTGGCGCTGGCCCAGAGGAGACAGAAGGACTGTGTTCAGTTTCCTGCTGCCTGTTGCGTGCAGAGCCCGTCCTGGTCTCCACACTCCACGCCCAGGGTCTGGAGCCCCGCCCTCTTGAGGGACAGTGCCTGGGGACCCCTGAAGCGTGAGGCTTCTCCAAGTCTCCAGTGATGCGTGGGTCTCAGATGCCGTTCCTTCTAATTGCTATTAAAAGTGTTACTTTGTAAGATTAGGCTTTCTACCTGCTTGTTTTCTGGTTGATAGAAACATAAGTGGTTTGATATATCGAACTTATATACAGCATGTTGTAAAACTTTCTGATTATTCCTAGTGATCTGTTTCTAGATCCTTTCAGGAGTTCTCAGTAAGACTGTTCATCTAGTAATAATGACATTGTGTGTTGTCTGCAGTTCTGCTTTCTATACATTTTATGTCTTTTTCTTTCTTGACACTGGCTGGGAGAGCCAGCACCGTGGGTGTCCTTGTCTAATTCCTAATTTTGAAGGAAATTTCTTCTAACTCTGCCATTAAAAATGATACTTATAGGGAGACCCAGGTGTTTTAAATTGACCAAACTAATTTGGCTGTTCACAGCTGCCAGGAGGCCTCTGCTAGAGGTTGGTGGGGGCCCTACCACCACATGCTGCCACCTCTGTGCCAGCTGTTAGGGTCAGTGAAAGTAGACCTTAGACCAGAATCTTCCAGAGCGACAAGTGTGTGTTAATAGCTGGTGCAAAGACAGCCCCACTTGTGCTTGTGCTCAGGGGGTGCCCTCTTCCCTGGTCTGAGAGACAGCAGCCAGGTCCAGTGTGTTGTGTTGAGGCCGACTGTGGGTTCTATTGGGGGTCCTCGGTGAGAGTAGGGACATGAATGGGGCCCATGCACCCTCTCCAACACCGCCACCTCCCCCACTTCCCTTGTGCCAGTTGACCCCTGCAGGGAGCATCTCAACGAGGTCAGGACCCCTGATGAGGGTCCCCATGCTCACTGCCCTACTGTGGGTGGGAGTTGACTGTCACACCACACACACCACTATACTGTCAAAGGAGATCACACCTGATGACGGCCCGTGAGGAAAGACAGGGCCATGGTCACTACATGAGAGCCACATCTGTCCTCCCTCCCGGCCACTGGGGACAGCCTAGAGGAGTCCAGGCAGGAGTTCCCGAAGGAAAGGGAGGCGATGTGTGTGTGATGTGTGAGTGGTGCATGCACAGGGTGTGCGTGCTCTGTGTGTGTGCACATGTGTGTATATTGCATGTGTGCATGTGATGTGTGGGTGATATATGTTGCGTTTATGTGTGCGCAGGAGCACATGTATGTATACTGCATGTGTGCATGGGATGGGTGAATGATATGTGTGCATTGTGTGTGGTATATGTGCATGTGTGTGTGTATTCCATGCATGTATGTGATGTGAGTGGTGCATGTGCACAGGGTGTATACTCTGTGCGTTTGCATGTGTGTATATTGCATGCATGTGTGTGAGTGGTGCGTGTGTGCACGTGTGTGTATATGTGTGCATGTATATTATGTGTGTATGTATCTATTATGTGCAGTATGTGTGCCTGTGTGTATATTCTACGCGTGCATATATATTGTCTGTTGTATGTGCATATGTGTAAATTGTGTGCATCTGTATGCACGTATGTTGTGTGCATGTGTATGTTACATGTGTTTGTGGTGTATATTTTATGTGCATGTTTCATATGCATGCATGCACACATGTATATTGCATGTATGTGTGTTGGTTAGTGCAAGTGTATATTGTGTGCATGTGTGTGTATGTTGTGTTCATGTGTGTACATATTGCTTGTGGTATGTGTCTGTATGTGTATATTGTGTGCTTGTGCACATGTATGTTTAGTGTGTGTGTTTATATGTGTAGTGTGCATGTGTGTATTGCATTCATGTGTGTATTTTTTTTTTTTTTGTCTTTTTTCCGTGTCCGGCAACGGATCGCAACCCTCAGTGTTGTCCCCGTACCGGACTGGGGACCGGCAACGGGATTGCAACCCTCGGTGTTGCTCCCGCGCCTCGCTCAGCCAGTGAGCGGGAACCGGTCTGTATGTGGGATCCGAACCCTCGGACGGGAGCGCCGCCGCGCTTCCCAAGTGGCGCACTATCCAGTGCGCCACCGGGCCGGCCCCATGTGTGTATATTTTGTGGGGTGTGTGCGTGTATGTATATTGTGTGTATGTGTATATTCCACGTGCATGTGTGCTTGTGTATGTATTGTAAGCATGTGTGCATATGTGTTCGTGTGTATATATTGTTTATGGCATATGTCCATGTGTGTATATTGTGTGCAAGTGCACGTGTTTGGTGTGTGTGCATGTGTATGTTGTGTGCATCTGTATTGCATGCTTGTGTGTAAATCATATGGATTGTGTGCATCTGTGTATATTGCATGTGTGTGTGGTGTGTATATATTATGCTCATGTGTGTATATATTTATGCTATGTGTCCATGTGTGTATACTGTGTGCATGTGCACGTGTAGTCTTTGTGCATATGTTTAGTGTGTGCACATGTATCTTGTGTGCATGTGTGTGTGTTGCATGCTTGTGGTTTGTACATGTGTATATTATGTGTGTGTGTGTTTGTGCACATGTGCTGGATTCTGGTTCTGTCACCCCCAGAGTTCCTCCCTGCTTGAACATGGGGGACGGCTCCAGGGCATCTGGACTAGCCACCCCTGCCTCGAGGCTTCCCTTTTAGGACAGGCAGTTCATTCTGACATCAGCTCAGGGTAAGAATTGGGAGCACAGTTAGCCCCAAGTACCGTTTGCCAGGAGGCAGACACAGTGGAGCCTGTGTGCACATCAGTGATTGTGGGTCATGTGGTTTCCTCCCAAGACCGCATCCCACATCAGCAAGGGGCTCCCTGGCTGAGGGGTGGCTTTCCTTCCTCACTTTGTGGAACACATGTTTTATTTCCTATTATTTTACAGAAGATAATGGAGAATGTTGCAGATACAAACCATTTATGTCAAACAAAATCAGTGGCCACCGTGAATCCTGAGTGTTGCCTGCTTCTCTTTTTTTCTCTGAGATTTGACATGATAAAGCAAAGAAAACTTTCTTTTAAAAAAATGGTGCTTGCTGTAAGGTTTTGGTTAATACTTTTCTGCCAGTTAAGGAGCATCCTTCTTTTCCTTGTTTGCTAAGATTAGTGTGTGTGGGGTTTTGATTTTTAACCATGATCTTGGTGTTGAGTTTCATTAAATGCTTGTTCTGTAGCTATGGAGATAGGCCTAGGTCTTTTCTCCTTTAATTGGTTAAGTGGTGAAATATATTTAAAGATTTGTCTATCGTTAATGTACCCTTGCATTTATGGGATAAAAGTCAGCTTTGTTATGATGTATTACTAGTTTGTACTTTGCTGGGTTTAGTTTTGTAGTATTTTGTTCGGGATTTTTTTTTCCACCTATGTGCATGCGAGAAAATGGCCTGCAATCTTCCTGTCTTTCCCTGCTTTGGCAGGCATGGCTGTCAAGGTTGTGGTAGCCTAATGGGATGGTTTGGGCGGGGGGTTCCCTTTTTTCCCATTATCTGGGAGAGTTTTTATAAGATTGGAATTATTTGTTCCTTGAAAGTTTGGCAAAATTTCTCTGTAAAATGTGGACCTACTGTTTCCTGTTGGGGAGATGTTTTTTAAACATGGATTCAGTTTTTTTAATGTCTTGCGACTCTCTGGCCTTTTTCTTTCTTCCTGAGCTGTGTGGTTAGTGAGATTTTTCCAGGAGTTTCCCGTCTCACTCTTCACGTGGACTGTCTGGCTGCCCCTTTGTCGGTGTGCCCTCTCGTCTCCCTTGATCACTTAACTCAGAAGTGCGTTAAACAGAGGCGCCATCCACCGAGTACTGCAGGCCAATCCCATGGGACGCACACCTAGGCACCCGCGCCGTTCTCCCGGCCCTGGCTTCTGCGGCAGCTGCCACCTCGCTCTTCTGCCTTGTGGTGTTTTCTGTGCGCGCCCTTGCAGGTGGAGCTTAGTGTTGTGTTCAGACTTTGCATAAATGCAGTCACACCGCGTGTTTTCTTTGTCGGGCTTTCCTGCCCAGCCCGGCTGAGCAGGCTGACTGGAGTCTGTTTTCATTGCGTTCTGTGCTCTGTTGTCACACATTAGCAGTGGGGCTGCACGCACTAGCAGTGGGGCATGGGGGTGCTTGTCTGCAGTATCTCTGGAAGACAACACACTGTTTCTAGGAGCTGAGCCCGTTATGTTCCCCAGCAGCGTGCCAATGCCTGGGTTCTTGCTGGAATGAGCAGTCTCTCACTGTGGTCTTAACGGGCTTTCTCTCATGACTGACGAGATCAAACACATTTTTATTGATTGGCCGTTTGGAATTCCTCTTTTCTGAGCTGCCATCAAAGTCTTCTGTACATCTTTGTACCGGATTATGTTACTTTGATGTGTCCGTAGCATTTTGTGGTATTCTGGAAATGAGATCTGGGTGGGTTACGTGTGTTGTAGCTGTCTTCCCATCTGTGCGTGTTTCTGCTCTGGGCTGAATCGTGCCCCCCACAGTGCATATGCTGAAGTTCTGACCCCAGTATTTGTGTTTGGAGGTAGTGTATTTTAAAAAGTAATTAGGGTAAATTAGGTCATTAGTGTGGGCTCCAGTCCAATCTGACTGGTGTCCTCAAAAGAAGAGATTAGGACACAGGGACGACCACGTGAGCCCACAGAGAAGATGCTGTCTTCACACAGGGAGGGAGGCCTCAGAAGGAACCAGCCCTGCCACGCCTTGATCTCAGACTTCCAGCCTCCAGAACTGTGAGATGAAAAATGTCTGCTGTTTAAGCCACCCAGGCCATGGGACTTTGTTAAGGCTGTCTGGGCAAACTAACGCAGTTTCTCACCGTCTCATGGTTTCTTCTGAGGAATGATGCCCTTAATTTTAATGCCGAACTTATTGGCTTTTTAAATGTATTTACCTCAAGATCATGAGAATTATATTGATAATATAACCTAGCCTTAAATGAAGTTCTCCTAGCCATTAAATATACATTTCAATAATTTTATTTTTATTTCTAAAAATTGTAGTTGTTTATTTTTCATACTTCTCTGGTCATTGTTGAATCTTTGCTTGCACATGTTTGTACCTGGAATTTCTTTAAGCATCTGTGCTCTGACTCATCATTGGTTGGCCTCTGATAAGCCCCCTGTCTGAAGTCCTCAGGCTGGGCTGGGGAGCCGGCCCCACGTCTGGGGTTGCCTTTGTTGACTCAATCGTGGTGGCTCATCTTGCTTGTTTATGATCATTGCTTGTGAGCTCATGTTTGGACAATGGACTCTAAAGTGAGGGTGCTTTCCTCCAGGGACAACACGGGCTTTTCTGAGTCAGCTGCCGTCAGATCCTGGCCTATCTCAGCTTACCTGTCACCATGGGCTGAGCTTGTCCACTATGGCAGTGCTGCATGGCATTTTCCACAGCTCAAATCTGCTGCCTGTGTCATATGCTTTGTTTTGTCTGGGGCCCTTGTGGGCCTCCTCTTTGGCATGACAGCCATGCCCCAGGTCCAGTGGTCTGTGTGCATCTCTCTTCTGTGCCGGGGCAACTTTCAGAGGAGCTCACTCACCAGCTTGGGAAGCAGACCTCAGGCAGACTCCCAGTGGAGCTGCTGTAGCCTCCCAGCCCTGACGAAGCCAGCTGGCCGTCACAGTCACAGTCGCACAGCCGAGGGCTGACCTGCATAGGGGCTCTCTGGTGCCCACACGTGGTAGAGGGGACTGTGGCCTCGCGGACAAGCCCCTCTGCCCTGCGTTGGCTTCATGCTCTTCCTCTCATGCTGTCAGGCCTCAGGTTCCCTTTCCCCTGTTGGGGTCCTCCTTCCTGAGACCTCCCCAGACAGCTGGGCCCAAGGTTCCTCTTTTATGCGAAACTTCTGCACTTTTCAGACACTGCGGCAGTCAGCTGAGCATGGCAGTGACCCCTGATGCTGACGCTTTCTGGCCATGAGGGTCCCAGGGTCGTGGTCACTGTCCCACACTGGACTGACATTGTGCCTTGTGGGGAGGTGCTTGGAGACTGGCAGAGTGAGAAGTGGGTGTGGAACGTCCAGAGGCCCTGGGCCCCAGCCAGGCTTACAGGAGGAAGTGGGTGCTAGGCTGGCCTCGGCCTCCACGTTTGTCATCTGGGATCAAAGGCCACACAGTTAGTGCCACTGGGTGCCCACTCTGCCCCTGCCAGTTGCCACAGCCTTTGCATTGCTGGTGCTGCAGATGTGAGATCAGAACTTCTACCTCACCCTTCAGTTTTAATGAAACATAGTGAATACTGTTAAGAATTTCTGAAGTTCATAAAAAATCACAGATGTGCTCATTTAGCTAAATGTATTTACTTTAAAACCCTGGCCATTGTACTGATGAGAGGCGGGCAGGAAAGTGCCCCACTCTGTCCACACGCTGACTTAGGTTTAAGAGAAAATGGCACGTCCGCCCTGAGCGGCAGTGCCAGCACTGAGCGTGTGTCCCCACAGAGGATGACGGCCGAGGCGCACCGGCGCGTGGTGGTGGAGTACCTGCGGGCCGCCATGCAGAAGCGCATCTCGTTCCGGAGCGCCGAGGAGCGCAAGGAGGGTGCGGAGAAGATGGTCCGGGAGGCCGAGCAGCTGCGCTTCCTCTTCCGGAAGCTGGCGTCTGTGAGTGTCGCGGCTCGCGGGCTCTGGAGCACAGGAATAGGGTTCTTCTGAGCTGGTGTTTCAGTTTCCCCCCCCTGGGGCTTTTTAGGCCAGTTGATTGGAATCAGTCACCTTAGGAACCAGGTAACGGATTAATTCTCTCTTCTTCATCAGCAGGATCCAGATCCTGCTGACTTTGTGGTTGAGAAACGCATTACCACAGAGGCAGGTGCCCTGGGAGTGGCAACCTTGGCTCTGAGACTTGCAGCTTCCAACCCTGCCCTCATCTGTTTTGTTTTGTGAGGTGCTGGCTGCCACCCGGTGACTAGGCTGCGCGGCAGGCACAGGCGAGACCAGGTGTCTTCACCCTGGTCTCTCCCTAGGCCTGTCAGATGCTGAGCAGCTACACGAGATCAGCCCCCCGACTTTTGGAATGAGCCTTGAGGTGTCTGTGGGAAGGGGAAGGCCCCCGCCAGAAGGGGCTTTCAAGAGCGTCACACTTAAGCTGGGCCTCTGGCTCCTGGGGGGATGGAGCCGAGGGCACCTCCTCACACTCCTCCTGTCTTCTAGGGGTTTGGAGAAGACGTGGATGGATACTGTGACACGATCATCGCTGTCGCAGAAGTTATTAAGCTGACAGACCCTTCTCTGCTCTACCTGGAAGTCTCGACTCTGGTCAGCAAATATCCAGACATCAGGTAATGGCTGTGCGTCTTCCCGTTAGAAGTCCATGTCGTGGGGAAGATAGAAGGTCTGGCTCCTGAGGTCAGGTGTGTGTGCAGCAGGGGTCAGAGTGTGACTGTTGGTGCCAGCGGGTGTGCATGGAGGGAGGCACATAGTAGATCTGGCGTCTGCAGGAGGATGTACTGAGCGGGCTTTGTTCCGATGCCAGCAGGACCCCAGTGAGCTACAGTGGTGTGAGTGGGCAGAAGTTGTGGGCACATTCTGGCTGGACAGTGAGGACAGCAGGTGGGATAGGGGTGTCATCTCTGATGCGGTGGGTGGGGGACGTGGCCTGAGAAGGGCAAGTTTAGGAAACTTTATCTCATGGCAGTGTCATGGTAGACTCAGAAAAGGAGCCAGGTGCCACACTCGGCCAGGACACCCTCTGAGGACGGGATCTCAGAGTCCCACTGTCAGACTGAGGGAAGGGGGCCCGCTGACATCCCCCCACCCATGGTGTGGGTTCCAGCCCTGGGCCCAGCCTTCATGCCCCCATCCCAGGGCACCTGACCTCCACAAGGGCCTCACGTGGCCCATCTTCTCTCACTGCTGCCACTCTGTTTAAACACGAACTGAGGTCCTGAGCTCTCCAGGCCCCCCCCCCGTTAATTAGGCTTTAGGCTGTCCTCTAAACAAAGATGTATAAAATAACGTTTAAAAAGCTCTATGCAGTTGTGGATTGAGAGAGACCACAGTCTGATGAACACTTAGGCTTGTCTGCCTCTGAAAAAGGGAAGGGAGGAGGTGCCTTTTGTCAGCCGCTGTCCACACCCCGTTCTGTGGCCTCGGTGTCTGTGGGGTACACTGAGGGGGAGTGGGCACGGCTGACGTCTCCCCTCCCTCCAGAGATGACCACATTGGTGCACTGCTGGCTTTGCGCGGGGACACCAACCGGGACATGAAGCAGACCATCGTCGAGACGCTGGAGCAGGGCCCAACGCAAGCGAGTCCCGGCTACGTGCCCATCTTCAGGGAGATCGCCGTGCCCGGCCTGAACGTGGCGAAGCTCCTAAAGTAGCCATGTCTGTCTGCTCTGTGTGTGCCACTGTGGCCCCGCCTGCCACTCCAGAAACACATTAAAGCAAAGTCACTCTCCGGGTTCCACCTCTGATGGCTTTGTTACGTGTGCCTGTCCTTTCCAGCACTGAAACACATCTGTAGAAGGTGCGTGTGGCACAAGCTTCTCAAAACCCTGGTTCCGTAGGTTTCCCCATTTTTGTGGTAAAAGTCCTTTGTGAGCAGGACTCTGTTGCAAGATCCTCTTGTGCTGGATTGTTCATCCAGGGGCCAAGAGGTGGGGGGGGGATTGTGTGCAGCCCACTCGCCTCTGCCTCCAGCTCCACTCACACTGTGCCTGCTGTGAACGCTCTGGAATTCCGCCGTTTAATTAGTGTCACCTTCCTCAGAGAGAGGGAATCGAGGCGATTTCTCTTTTCCAGTTAAGCTTTTCTCAGTAGTGGTGACCTAGCAATGCCCAGAAACTGCTTTTAGATGGTCATCTATGGAAATAACAATCTTCTCTCAGCCTGGCTGTGGCAGCCGAGCTGTGTGCTGAGCTCCAGGTTTCACCCCAGCCTTTCTGACTGTCCCAGACTCGTACCCCAGGGCCTTTGGACAAGAAACTCACCTGCTGGAGCCGCTGAGCCAGGTGAGCAGACCCTGGCACTGGCAGTGCCAGCTGGCCCAGTCATACCTGGGCGACAAGCAGCATCTTGAGTAAGTTTTGGTAAAAGCATAATACAAAAGCGAATATTTATTGGGAATACATTTCAAGGCCTGCAACTCATGCTTATTCTTGATGCCACCCCCTAAATCCTCTTTTTCTGTGATTTGGCCATCTCTCTACAGCATCTGCCTTCAATGGTAGCACCACTTTGCACATTAATCTTTCATTTTTTGCTAAGCTAATTGAATCATACCCAGAATGGACAGCAAGCCCTTTCATACCATGTCAGAGGGTTCTGCACTGTTAGAGGGCCCGACCTCCGTGTCCCCAGCTTGGCAGGGAAATGCTGGCTCGAGCTGAGGGAGGAGTGGGCATTTGCCCCAACTCTCGTGGGTGCTGGCGTTGTCCCTGCCTGGTTCAGCGGCGGGACTTGCTCACTCAGAGCAACATGCCTGCCCAGCCCTTGCTGGACGCGTGCCCAGCCCTTGCTGGACGCGTGCTCTAAGTCCGCATGGGGACATGTGCTTCATTTTCAGGACATTTCGAGGTGGCAGAGTTGACATTTTGCTTCTGTTTCATCCTCTCAAGATGTGAAAAATTGGGCTGGCCCGGTGGCGCACTGCTACAGTGCGCCGCTTGGGAGCGCAGCGGCGCTCCCGCTGAGGGTTTGGATCCCACATACAGACCGGCCGCTCACTGGCTGAGCAAGGTGCGGGCGCAACACCAAGGGTTGCGATCTCGTTGCCGGTCCCGGTCCCGGTCCGGTACAGGCGCGACACTGAGGGTTGCGATCCGTTGCCGGTCACGAAAAAAGACAAAAAAAAAAAAAAGATGTGAAAAATTTACAGATAGGATTTTTTATTGAATCAAAACCTAAGTGGATTTGAGTAACCAGGCAGAGTTCTTATGATAGGGAGCATATGAGCATTACTGGCTCAGAAGAGGTGTGATCTTCCTGAAGACATCCAGCTAATAATCTCTGTCTCTTAACATACATGTTAACCTAGTTCCCACTTAACGTGCTCTGAACATGCCCTGCATATAGTAAGTCCTCACTAAATATATGTGGAATAAATAAAATTCATAGTGTTAATCATTACTTATTGCCATTTATAAAAATGCATTTATTCTCCCACCGAGAGAGAATTTTTGCTCCAAGTTACTTCTGGGGTGAATATCCACAGTGAATACTGTCCTGCTTTGCTTAACAATGGGATGTGTTCTGAGAAGTGTGTTGTTAGGTGAGTGCATTGTTGCGTGAACGTCACAAGAGTGCACCCCAGCCTGGATGGTAGAGACTACAGCTCCAACTGTATTCTGTATTCAGACGATGACGGTTTATCCCCATGGCATGAGTTGTCCTTACAGGGCTTTTGCTCTGATTATCATGGTCACCATAGGGCCCCACAGTCACTGGTTGTGCCCACTGCAGGGACATCTGCAGTGATGGTGGCTGAGCATTTGGCTGTCTGGCTTCCAGAGGCCAAGCTGAAGGTGGACATCAGCACATTCCTGAACAGCGGTTATGCATGATTCAGGAGGGAGGACATTGGCCAGGAGCTGCCGAAAGGCATGGGGGGACACTGGCGGAGGGCCACGTGCCAGTGGGTGTGGGTAGTGGGTGTCCATCCTGACAGTGGGGGTGGGGGCCATCTCCTGGCCACTCAGTAGAGGACACCTGTGTGAAGGTATGGGTGAGCCAGGTCCCAGTGAGAGGCAGCAGGCATCCCATTGCAGGCCGGTGCTGCTTCCTGCCTGGGAGCATCTGGTTGCCGTGGACTTAACAGTAGGCAGGTGCCTGCTGCAGCCAGTCCCAGAAGCCATTCACGCCTACCACTCTCTGCATCTCGGGCATGTCCTCCATGAAATACCTTTCACCACTTGGATGAAAGACCATCTTTCAAGTTAGGAAAGTTCCTTGATTCTCTGTTTTATTCAGTGGAGCTCCAGAGCATGAAGAGAGGGGCTCCCGGGTCAGGGTGTTGACCTGATAATGCTGCGTGCGGTGCTTCCCACTTGTGGCTGTCAGGGCCACCTTGTCCATCCGGCTCCTCACCTGGGCATGCTGTCCGTGTCCCTAAGGGGCTCCCGGGTCAGGGTGTTGACCTGATAATGCTGCGTGCGGTGCTTCCCACCTGTGGCTGTCAGGGCCACCTTGTCCATCCGGCTCCTCACCTGGGCATGCTGTCCGTGTCCCTTCCGCATGTCTCAGCTGCTGTAATGAGCACACCCCAAAACACGGAGCCCCCATCCAGAGGAGCTGGTGGGTGACACCCCATCTACACGGGGGCTTCCAGCTGCTCCACATCACTCTTCAGCCCACGAGAGAAAGGGTGGCGTCCCAGGCATCTGCGTGGGGCACCTCAGCCAGGGGTGCCCACAGGCAGACTGGAGACAGCCAGGGGAAGCCACCACACACCCAGGAGAGACCCGGGCGAGGCACAGGAGAGGAGGCGGGTGCCCAGGGAGCCAACTTGGCTCACCCCCTTCCTCCTTGCGATGAGCTGGATTGTGTCTTCCTGAAAAGGGTGGTTATGGTCTTAACCCCTGCACCTCAGAATGCAGCTTTGTTTGGAGACAGGATCACTGCAGATGCGATCATTTGGGTTGAGAGGAAGTCATGCTGGAGCAGGGAGAAGACAGAAGGTGCCACGTGGAGATGGAGAGCAAGCGAAAGAGGCCAGGGGCTCCCCAGTTTCCGAGGGACGCGGCCCTGCTGGCACCTCCACCTCAGATTTCTGGCCCCCAGATCCTGAGACAGTGAGCTTCTGTTTTAAGCTGCCCCGTTTGTGTTGTTAGCAGACTCCAGTGCACTCATTAGTATCAACTTCGAAATGGCTGTCAGCATAGACTCATCAGCAGTCCCTGTGGATGCTACTTTGATGGCAATTTTCTTTTTATAATAGACATTTAGAAGTTTTAACTATTAAATAAAAAATGTGTCTCTGTGACTCCTAGACCTCATATCTGACCTGTTGGAGACAGTTGTCTGGGCTGGAGGCAGGCGGCTCCACCTGGGGGGGCTTTGGGGGGATCCACCGGGAGGGGGCACCACAGGGTTGGGATTAGGGGGTTGGTGTTCACCTGGGTATCTACCTGAGGGGTGGGCTCCACCTGCGGGGGGCCGGGTCCACCAGGACTCCAGGGCAGGCACACAGCTCTCAGGTCCACCTATCTCTCTGCCTCCCCCATCAGCCTTATCTCCACCCTGCAGAGACCCTCCTTGGCCACCCAGGCTCTGGACACCACTGTCCCTGCCCATGTCTCTTTTCAGCCCTGGGCCCACCCACTTTGGTGTCTCAGGCCTCTCATGCTCCTGCTCCGGCCCACGGGGGTCTGAATCCCAGCCCACGGCCCCGGTCAGCTACCCCCCGCCACCCCAGGGCCTCTCTGACCCGTTTCCCATCTGAGTGATGACTGATGTGTGGGAGTGCCTGGGTTGTATCCGGCATCAGGGGTTGTTCCACAACTGTGTGTCCACCGACTTCCTCACAGCAGCTAGAAAGGGCAGCACGTACCCACACACGCACACGCCTGTGTCAGTGTCAGTGTTCACGTGGAGCAGTGTGCACACAGGAGGCTGCTTCGTGAACTCTCCTGGCTTGCTTTCTCGTGTAAAAACAGTTTGCACCCAGATGCCTTGACACACTTTTAATAGAATTGGTCAAGCAGTCGTGGAGGGTTTTAGTGATGGGGCCCTCCCTGCCCAGACACTGCCCATGGCACATCTGGAGGGCATTTTAAGGCACATCATTTTGTGAATTACACAAAGTTTGAGATTACATTCACAAAATTAACATACAGTTTTCACACTCATGACAAAATACATATCCTAGTTTTGCTGAAATTCTTCCACTAAATTTCCTTTCACAATAGATCAGTAGTACACAGTATATTGAACACTGTAACAAAATTATTTTCAAGAAAATAGAGAAGTGAACAATAGTGATTTTCTAAATTTGTGTATTTCATAGTCTACCCACAAAGTAGGCCAAAATTCAGTATTAAATAAATATTTTTTCCTAATAAAATTTTTTACAACAGTTTTCCTAGGAAATACATTCATAAGACTTTGTTTACATTCTGTTCTACAGTAGCGACGGGGACAGTGAAGACTCTTGTTTATGAAATGAGTCACAGTACCGGGTTCGTAGCACTGTCAGCGGACGGAACGCACTGTGTGAAGTGTGGGTTTCTGTGAGCGAGGTTTCCTCATTGGGAACTTTGGTTCCACTGTGGTTGTGCTTTGCCTGTAGGGTCCACATAGATACAGAAAATCTGCCTGCCCACCACAGAAGACACTGGGACTGAAGACCACCACTCTAGGAGATAGTGTCAAAGGGACGTGTCACGTGGCCACTGTCTTTTATTCTCTGCTGACTTTGGTATCCCTGGGTGTCCAGTGTGCGGTGACCAGGAATGGCCTGAGCCCACTTCCCAGACTCAGCTTCTGACTGCAGTGGGGAATCAGATCCAGGGTCCAGTGGTCCAGGCGAGTTGTTAAGGCAGTCGGCAGTGCTGCAGCCACTGAACAGTTCCACTCTGTTCTGCTCCCAGGCACAGGGCAGGCACTTGGAAGGCAGCGTTAGGCTCCGCTGGCCACTGGGAGGCTTCGCTGCAGTAAGGATGGGACCGACTGCGGTGCTCTCAGAGCTCCCTTATGCCTGGGGAGGTGAGACCACCATGCCAGGACCCAGCCTGCTTGGGATGAACCTGAAGGGTGATCGTGGCTGTGGCTCAGCAGCTGGGGCTGGCCTTGGCCTTGTCCAGTAGGATCACTAATTGGGCAGTTCCTGGCATGGTAATGGCTGGATCTTGTGCTTAGAGTTGGTTGAAGTGGTTGCAGGATGTGGAGCGCAACTACTGAGAACCACCCGGCAGCGCACTCGAGCCGTAATGGCTGAGCTGCTGACCCAAACAGCGTGCAAAGGGCTCCCCCCCAGGGCAAAGCGCTTGTGCTTCTCCAGGACAGAAGCCCCAGGCGGGCTTGTGCTGTGAAGAAACTGCTGACTCCTGTTGTTTCACATGTTTTTCTCAACAGCAAAGCTTTGAACAAGGAACTGTGGACTTTTCCATCAGGGGCTCCATGTGCAATATTAAAAGAGTACAGACTGTTGATAACTCCTCCTTACCTATGACTGCTTTGAGAACATAAACTGTCACTTGATCAAAGACACACGAATAGTTTAATTTTCCTGAGCAAGTTGCTGAAAGTCTGCTTTGTTTTTAGAAAAGCATCTAGTAGTGTCCTAGGTCTACTGTCCCTTTAATCCCATACTCTGTCCTCAAACAAAACCCTACAGTGCAGGTGGAATTTCAGGAGTGTAGGAACCACAGGCTGACCCTCCAGGACTCGATGTCTGAGGAACAGACACTGGCAGATGACAGCAAGCTCAGAGGCCCCTTCCTGGGTCACAGCAGTGGAAGACTTCACCCCAGAACAGCCTGGACAGTGGTCTTGCTGCAAGGGACTGGGGGCTCTGTCCAAGGCCTTATCCCTGAGACCTTGGAGGAGGTGCGAGGGGGTGGGAAGGGGCCTGTAGTACAGCATCCCAGGGGTCTCAACCAAGTCCTCTTTGGAGGGCTTGAGCCCGGGTGTGTTGTGAGCCACCTCCATGTTCTCTGAGCTCTTCCCTAGTTGAGTGGGGCTAGAATGACCATCTGGTCACCATCCATGTAAGGGCTGGCCATGATATTAAACCAGAGTTGCCTGTGAGGCCCTGCAGAGCTCGCTACCCCCAACCCAGCCTGGGCCTCCACGGAGACCTCAGTGTCAGGTGGGACAGCTCAGGCCAGTGACCTGTTCAGTGGGGACAGGGCAGTGCCTGGCATCCAGAGGCCACCACCCCAAGACCCAGGCACATGCAGAGCTGAAATTGGGAGGGAAACAGGACAAATGCTGGATTGAGTTTAAACACATAATGACAAACATAAGCTGTTCCTGCAGTTGTTGCTACAGTCCACATAGTGACCAGGTGGCCAAGTGGACAGGAAGATGGGGAAACAGGACAAATGCTGGATTGAGTTTAAACACATAATGACAAACATAAGGTGTTCCTGCAGTTGTTGCTACAGTCCACATAGTGACCAGGTGGCCAAGTGGACAGGAAGATGTCACACAAGGCCTTGGACGCCCACCTTCCCAACCACTGGGCCTGCAAGCGCACCGAGGAAGGGGGTCTCTTAGCTCTGGTGGCTCTAGGACGCTTGGGAACCGGGCTTGCCTCGACTTCCCTGGAGGTGAGGGGGGCCGGTGGGAGCCTGGGCCTGGAATCTTGGGCATCTCACGGGGCAAATCTCATCTTGTTTGGGGCTCAGCCTCCCTGGCAGTGATGAGAGGATGGACACAAGCTGCAACCGCTCAAACACGGAGCCGGGCGCCTGGCCGTCCTGTCCCTGAGTCAGTGTTGACAGTGGAAATACTAACGCCAAAGTGCCGGCTGAGTTCAAAACAAGGACAAGCGGACAGCAGGACCCGCGGCACAGCACCCTTCTGCCCACGGGAAGCGGGGGACGCCGGGGCGGGTCCTGGAGCGGGGGTTAGGGTGGGCGGGGCGGCGCGGTCACAGCGGCGTCTCCTCCTGCTCCAGCGCGTGCGGCGGCGCGTGGCACGAGGGCGGCAGCGACGCGAGCTTGAGCAGCGCGGGGCGGCGGCGCGCGCGGG